TGGAGTGGAGTGCAGTGCAAGGATGAACAAGGGAAGGAGGAACTGAACACAACCTATAATTCTGTACATTGGACAAAGAAGTGGAGGAGAGTGTGCTCAAAGACTAAAGACACTTCTATGACACACTGGCAAGTGAAGCAGATCAGGCAGAGGGTAGGAGTGACGTGACAACATTGTATCAAATAACCAGTGTAGTATCTGGGAGGTCTGGGAAGAGATCAACTCAGATGAAACCAATGAAATATGGTGAAGGAGAGCTAGTTACCAAAGAGGAGAAACAAAGGGAACGATGGGCTGACCAGTTCGAAATGCTCTTGAATCGACCACCACCTGCAAGTCATCCGCCAGAACCACCAGTGAACACAATCCCTTTGACAGAAGGAGAAGTGAAGTCCTGAATGCCATAAAGCTGGTGAAATCCGAGAAGGCAGCAGGACCAGATGGAATTCCACCAGACACACTGAGAATAGACGCAGAGGCAACAACGGACATGCTCATGCCATCATTGGAGAGGGTTTGGAAAGAAGGTAAGATACGTGGAGATCGGAGGAAGGGCTACCTTGTCAAACTCCCAAACAAGGGCGAGGTAAGTCTTTGCAGGAACTGGTGTGGAATCATGCTGCTGTCCACGCCAGGCAGAATATTAATCCGCATCATCCTGGAGAGACTGGAGGATGCTCTCGATTCACAACTACGACAGGAACAGGCTGGGTGGCTGGTTGGCTGGCTGGCTTCAGGAAAAACAAATCATGCGCCGACCGAATTGATACGCTACGCTTCCCATCATCATAGGACAGAGCATAGAATGCCTGTCAGTCAACTCCTAACCTTACGTCAACTTCATCGACTCTGAAAATGTCTTCGACAGCGTCAACCGAGAAGTAATTTGGCAGTTGCTTCAACACTACGATTTCAGTGTCACAGTCCTCCATCAAACTCATTCAACAACTATATGAAGACGCCACATGCCAAGTGATCCACAATGCGAAGCTCAATGATACTTTTGAAGTGAAGACAAGAGTAGGACGAGGTTGCCTACTATCACCGATGATCTTCTTGATTGTGGTCGACTGGACTGGATCATGCAGCAGACAGTGAGGAGCGAGAAGTGTGGGATACACTGGACCGGGAAAAGATCCTAGAAGATTTGGATTTCACTGATTATGATTCATGTCTAATATCTTGTCGCACAAACTCAAAGATCTACAGGCGTAAACTAACAAGTTGATAGAAGAGGCAAGGCAGCGAAGACGAGACTTCAAGTGAAGGTAGAGAAGACAGAGTTGATGAAGATACCCAACCAACACCATCACCATCACCACCACCAACAACAACAAGAAGCTCCAATCACCATCAGTGGGAGAAAGTAAAAGGAAGTAGTCTATTTCACTTACAAATACCTAGGCAGCATCGTTTCAACTGAAGGTGGCGGCACACACGAGGACATCAAAGCCAGCCAGGATCGAAAAGACAGCAAGACAGGCATTCATTACCCTGAAACCAGTGTGGAGATCTACTGCACTCAGCACGAAGCGTGAACAAGATGCAGATTTTCAACACCAATGTCAGTCAAGTCAGTGCTTCTATATGGTTTAGAAACTTGACGTGTCACGAAAAGCATTTTCAACAAACTACAGATGTTCATGAACATGTGTCTACGCTCAGTGCTGAAGCTCAGATGGCCAGAACAATGAGAATAAGCAACAAGGAACTCTGGCCACGCAACGAACCAACCAAGAACCTATCACTCAACAAATATGCAGGGGAAGAGAGTGGAGATGGATTTGATTGGGTATGCATTGAGGAGAGTAATTGGGGACATCACGCACCAGGTTAGGCACTCGAGTGGTATCCAGATAGGAAAGGGTGATTTGGGCTTCCGGGGCGAGAGTGACATGGAGGATATGGTGTGAGGAGGAAATGAGAGCTTGTGGGCAGTCTTCTCATCAGGTTGAAAAGATTGCAGAGAAGCGAGAGTAATGTAGATGTGCTACTGAATCCCTACGTTCAACTAGGAACCCACGGGACAATTAATAATAATAATACATCTGTTGCCTTCCCAGAAGTGCACACCGTTGAACAATGGGGGTGTCACTTTTGATTGCATAATCAATATTCTAATAATGTGGGAAATTCAGGCGAAAATCTACTCTATCCCACCCTTTAGTGTGATTATGGGTCAGTGCATCCAGAGTGATAGATGAGTTTTTCTCTAAATTACTTATCCTAATAGGGTGCACCATTGTGTTTCGCTTAGTTTTTCTGCTCCATTGTTTTGAATGACGCCGACTGACTGCTATGATCTACATACTTCAAAATCACTAAATGTAATTTGGAAGGTTAAGTTATTTTTTTAAGTTGGCTTCACTGGATATTTTAGTCTACACTCGTCTCTGTGAAAAAATTCGTAAGTTTAAATGCCATTTCTAATCCCAACACTGCCTAGAACTCTGTGTAAAATTTCTGATGTGCCTTCTTTACAAAGGACTTGAGTTCCCTCTTCGCCTCACTACAATTACCACTGATACTGTGACAAATTCTCTATAAGTCATTATAAACTTCTGATAAACTAAGAAGGGTAGTTATTTAGGCGTAATGTCTCTTCAATGCATTTTAGTTGATCATTTAGATTTTCTGACTTACTAGTTAAACTCCTGGCTCGACTACTTACACAATTCATTGAGCCTAATCTGACATATATGGGGTGAGATGATGCTAAATCCAAGTATCTATTCGAATGTGTTGCTTTCCTGTAAACACTGGTATCTAAGTAACCATCTTCTTCCCTGTTCAGTTTGCAACCCGACATAGGTAATTCTAGGAAATTAACTAACAGCTGACCATGAACTCAACCTCGCCTGGTTAACTAGTTTACTAGTTACTAGCCGGTCCTAAGCCCGGGTAAAGAGGGAAGGTTGGGCATAGGGCTAGCAACCCTACCCCGTAAAACAAATCTAACCGCTAAAGAAACTTCGAAGCACAAACAAAATATAAAAAATGAAAACAAACTTATTCCCCGCTGGAATCGGAGAGGCGAAATGACGCCAGTTGGTGAAAGCCTTCGGGAAGCCAATTGGCTGATGTGTCTTCTCTCGATGAAAGCGAAAGTAAACGTGGGGACATGGAATGTCCGCACGATGTTTGAACCCAGTAAGGCAGCCCAGATTGCAAGGGAGATGAGAAGGTATAACATCGAAGTGCTTGGGATTTGCGAAAGCAGATGGAATGGGAGTGGACTCTCCAAACTGTCAACTGGAGAATCAATAATCTACTCCGGTCACCCAGACGCCAACCACGAGCACACTGAGGGAGTGGCTATCATGATGTCCTCAAGAGCATCGAAGGCTCTCATGCAGTGGGAACCAATCTCCTCCAGGATCATGACAGCAAGATTCAACTCAAAAGGAAGAAAGGTCACAATCATACAATGTTATGCACCTACAAATAATAAATGACCATGAACTCAGTAACAGAACTAAATCGTTTACTGAAGATATTATGTGAGGGATAGGATTGTGTCTAACTTCCATGGTTTTCAAATTTCAAGACAAAATACATTAACAAACAGAAACAGTAGTGATGGGATCTCCAATATCTCCGATCGTAGCAGACATATTTATGGACAGTTGAGGACAAACAGCAATAGGAAAATTCTAGCCCACCACAAAACTATGTTTGCAATATGTAGATGATGCAATTACTGTTTTGAAATCAGAACATTTCCAGAGGTTTTTTGCACACATCAACTCGATAGTAGATGCAATCGAACTCACTTATGAAACAGTAAATGAAGAGGGAGAATCACCTATGTTGGATTGTCAAATTAAGAGCAGAGAAGATTATAGCTTCGATATCAATATTTATGGGAGATTGTAGGGTTGCTGGTTGTGTTACTGTTATGTAACGCTTGACCAACCCTACTTAACTCTATGTGCCCTAGTACCTGCTTAATAAGTACCTTAGTTAACGTGTGAGTACTGATAACGAATCAAAAATCAAAAGGACTGGAATTCAGGAACATATTCTAAGGAGAGATATATTTAATTAGAATAAATGTCATAATGATTATAAGGGGAAAGTTTATCCAGCTTATCTAGCTAGTATGGCTGAACTAGAAACTCTCAGGACGTGCGTGTTAACCACTACAATGGGAGGGCAAAATGGTGTCGAAGCCTGCTCGCATGCGCCTCGTTAAAACACAACTTGAAAAACGTTAAGTATCCGAAGGCAACCTATAGGTTTACTTAGTCAATATTTATTTAATTCAATTTAATCTATTTATTTTAGCCCTAGCTGCACTTCGGTGCCAGGAAGGTGCATTTTAGGTTATCCTCCTCCTAAAAGGAGGATACCGGCAACCTTCGACCCTAGGAGGTAACTGCGAGACGGACACGTAGCACCTTTCCATATTGGTGATGGAGTAGTTGACGAGTGGATCTCCGAAACTAGTGCAACTATGCACTCCTACGAGATAAAGGAACTTTGCGTCCGGACCCAACCCTTCTAGCAGTGGTGGAAAATGACCCGAGGCCTCCGTCAACCTTTTCCTATTGATTCTTAATCTATAGGAGAGTGTACAAGGGGGAAATTGGCATAAAGAGAACTGGAGTTTTATTTGAGTAGCATCGTCAGGGACCAACATAGTCGAATAGATACTTGGATTTCACATCATTTCACCCCATATCTTTCAAGGTAGGCTGAGTTAAATGGGTGAGTAATCTAAATAAGATACTGAAACACATCAAAGAAACATTACATCTTAGTAATTGTTACACGAAATAAACATTCTGATGTGGAATTGTACTCTACAAAAGCCCCTAAGTTTTACTCCAACACTAATAAAGAGTGATTATGAATCGATAAGTGATGAGAAATAATTTTTCCCTGAGTTAATACTTTTAAATGAGTCTTTATTTGTTCTTGTAAAAATTGGATTCTTCTGAAAAAACTTCATTAATATTGAAATTATTTTACTGATAGACTGCAGTTCAACATCATTAATGCTAACTCCACCTAAAGTACAGAGCCCTACATCGAAATTGTCAACAGAAATAATAAAAAATGAAATTAGTCAAATAGACCTATATGTTAAGCAAGTTAATGATGGTAAACCAACTCAATTTTTTCAGTCAAACCAACCTACATTAAGCCCATCTTCATCATTATACTCTACTGCTAATCAGACCTCAGATTATCTACTTTGTAACAGATATGACAGAAATTTATCCACTGACTGGACAAATCATGAAAGTATGTTACAAATAGATGAGAAACAAACTTTCCCTCTTTATGATTCAACATCTCTGTCGCATCATCATCATCGTCATCATCATCATCATCTTACATCTCATGAACAAAATGAACACTACTCACATTATTATCCATACAATCATATTCATTCAATTTATTCATACCATCATCATATGTTAGATGAATACAGTGAACCAGAAGTAGAAATGAGTTTTTATACTGATAACACACAGAAAAATAATTTAAACCCTAGTAATAATACTCATAATACTTTAACCAATACTGATAGTATCAGCAATAGTAATAGTAATCTGAATAAAAAATCGAAAAGAGCACGAACAGCATATACACAGAATCAATTATTAGAATTAGAAAAAGAATTTTGGTACAGTCAATACTTATGTCGCCCTCGTCGAATTGAAATAGCCTCAACACTTAAACTATCTGAAAAACAAATCAAGGTGAGTATAGTTTTTAGACTACTTACTTTGGACGAAACCAGTAGTAGTACACTGTTGTAGAAAATGTAATTGAGTTTTTTAGTATATTTTTGCATTCATTGATATCTCAAATAGTTTGTCAAAGTTAAAGATTTCATTGTTTTCAAGGTAGTATTCATCACGGACTAACATCAGCTGGAGAAACCAATGAAAAACTGGGGACACTGTATAGGTGTTTCGTCTGAGTATACGACTCGTCAGCAGCACGCACCCACAACCCCACTGGAGATCTAACTTAGGGCCTTCAGATCTTGTAATGAATGCGTTAATAATTCAGTCACTGGGTTTGAGTTCAGTGGTCTATAGTCTTCTACTTCTGATAATTCAACCTTAAATAAAATGAAATCCTAATTAATCTCAAAATACATTACTGTCTAGTGTTCATTGGTGACATGCTTGGAGATGCGTATCCTGAAATTTTGATGAGAAGCTATGACCCGTGGAATCAACCAGTAGGAAGTGAAGCGTATATCAACTGAAGAAATTGGTGGCTAATGACGATGTATTGCATACTGACAGAAGTAGGAAACTGTGGCTGACTGAACTTTGACCCAGTGGCTGAATGGTTAACACGTCCACCATGAAACGTGAATGTCTTGGGTTTGATCCATGGTGGGTTGTTGGGTGCGTACTCCTGTGGAGTCCCATACTAGGATGAAACAACTGTTCATTTCCCCGAGGTTGTTAGCTATTCCCTAACTGACATCTAGAAACATTTGCATCTACGATTCCATCATACGAAAAGTTGACAACCACTTGCATATTCCCATTTTTGACTGAAATTTCGTCTAGCATACAGATTTAGAAAATATATCCACCGTATAATAGTCCATTAGAGAGAAGCAATCATGAGACTGTCAACATAGCATCAGGCAAATAACTTTCTGTTCCAATCAAGTCAAGAGTATGAAAAAGAACTTGAAGTTACGTTTTGGTCACAATTGACTTCTAGTTGTATACTATCCTAAGCAGAATGCTAACACAAGAAATTGAAAAAATGTAAGGTGAATGAAAAATGAATTTCATGTCTTCGGTTAGACAATGCCAAGAGGTCTATATGAAATCTATCTATTGAAAATTGAACTGCAAACAACATTCTGTTTAAGACGCTACTCAAAATTGTCATGCATATTCACAGATTTTCAGCCAAAAGTATTCTACCATTTGTGCTGGTAAAATATACTTTTTGTTTTAAATTCAGTTTCAATACTGGGACTAACAGAGACAGGCATAGGTATGACCACTTCGTTTAGGTGGCTAGCAGGAATCCAGGTGGTTTGAACAATTCACTTCTATAACCTCAATCTATTCAGGTAAACCACTGGTTATAATTATCATTAATAGTTGTCCTTTGGGTTCCTAGTGGGACACAGGGCTTCAGTAGCACGCCTCCATCGCACACTGTTCTCTACAGTCTTTTGAGCCTGACTCCACGACTGCCCAGAAGCTATCATCTCTTCCTCACTCGATCTGCTCCATGTCACCCTTGGATGTCTAACTCGTCGTTTCCCCTCCGGCTGCTACTCGAGAACCTGGCGCGTGATGTCCCCACAGTTTGTTGTATGATCCAGTCCAGTCGACCGCAATCAAGAATATCACCGGCGACAGTATGCAGCAACCTCGTCTTACTTCCGTCTTCACTTCAAAGGCATAACTGAGCTTTCTGTTATGGATCACTTGGCAAGTGATGCCTTCATATAGCTGTTGAATGAGATTGAGAAAGGTTCGTGGCACTGAAACCGCAGTATTGAAGCAGCTGTTAAATTACTTCTCAGTTGACGCTGTAGAAGGCTTTTTCAAAATCGATGAAGTTGAGGTAGAGAGTTAACTGCCATTTTATACTCTGTTCTTTGATGTTGCGTAGCGTAGCGTTGCAATTTGATCCACACATGACTTGTTCTTCCTGAAGCCAACCGGCTAGCCAGCCTGTTCTGGTTGTAATTTTGAATCCAGAGCATTTTTCAGTCTCTCCAGAATGAAGCGGCATAATATTTTGTTTGAGATGAACAGCAGCATAATTCCACACCAGTTCCTGCAAAGACTTAGGTCTCCTTTGTTTGGGAGTTTGACAAGGTAGCCCTTATTCCGATCCTCAGGTATCTTTCCTTCTTTCCAAACCTTCTGCATTGGTGGTATCAGCATGTCCGCTGTTGTCTCTTGATCTATTTTCAGTGCTTCTGGAAGAATCCCACGTGGTCTACTGATAAGCTCAACCCTAAACAAGCGAAATGACCCCCGAGTGTTTACATCAAACAGATATGGCCGGTGAACACTGCTGATCAGTGTAAGTGGTCTAGAACTATTAATGTTAGTCAGTAGTATATCACAAACAAGTCACGTTGCTGTATCTCAAAACAGCCAACGATCATTTATTCTCTTCAAATACCTTATTCCTGTTAATTTTGGAAAAGTGTAGGTAAGTACACAAAAAAATTCTAATGAACGATAGCCTGCAGACTTTTGACAAATTAGCTATCAACAGAATGCTATTACCTCCAAGACTGACACCGAAGACTTTAGTCGGGAAGAAATCCCGCTTGACCTAGTCCTCATCAGCAACTTCTACCGAACTAACGCCTCGCTTGAGATTTGAGCCCGCATCACCCAATTCTGCAGTCAAATGCGTTACCCCTCAGCTATCTTGTCGACGACTGACCTCCTGTAGGACTGAAGATTTGTCAGGGAAGGGATACAGTCGATGTGAAAATTTTTAACTCATTAACAAGTAGCCTAATAACTTTTATGGAACAATCTATCCTTCAAAAACAAAGAAACATTTTCAGTCAACTTTCCTATAGACAAACTAGAAATTCTAAACAATCCACCATTCATAGATTCGTAGTTTTTAAAGAAGTTATGAACAACAGAACAAAGCCACCTTCTTGAAAGGGATCGAATTCTAACAAGTCGTAGAAAATATCGAATCAGTTCACTTTATTCCGTAACAATCATCCGGGAAAAAAAGCAACGAGTAAAAGTCAGAACAAAGTAGGAAAAAACCCCGATCATTACATTCACTGAATGAAGGAAAGGAGAAAAAGGATTTGTGAGTAAGATCTACCACTTATCTTAATTCACCTCGTTCTTATCCACCATGCTTAACATTTTGCTAAGCATTATCGCTTGTAAAGGTTTTTGAGAAAGACATTTGTATTATTCACTGAACAATCAGAAAACTTTAAGTGACTAAGTAATTGCAGCTTACATTGAAAACAATCTACCTGTTAATGATAGTGCTCTGTAAGCGAATTTCGTAAAGGTAGACATAATAGCATGTAATTCAATGAAATTGTTTTAATTAAATTTTTGAGGGGGTTGTGGAGATTTGGAAATATTTCAAGTTGTTATTCATCGAAGACTGACATCAGTTGGAGGAACAAAGGAAACCTGGGAGCACTGGACAGCTGTTTCGTCTTAGTATGGCCGCGGAACCTGAAGGTCGCGGGTTCGATCCCTGCTGGTGGGGTGGTGGGTGCGCACTGCTGAGGAGTCCCATACTAGGACGAAACAGCTGTCCAGTGCTCCCAGGTTTCCTTTGTTCCTCCAACTGATGTCAGTCTTCGATGAATAACAACTTGAAATTATTTTAATTGATTGGTTGAGATCCTTTATATAAACCAGTTTAAGTTGAATACAGAACCTGAATGGATAGATATACAATAAAAATTCATGAAAGCTGAAGAAACAAGAAAATCGTTTTTCGACTAGTCTACGGTTATCGATAGCAGTTCAGACAATATAACTTTATCATGAAAACCAACTTCATGTTATTCAAGGATATAAACAAAATTTCAACATTTTTGACGTTATAAACCGAAAACTCAAAACAACCACTAACAAAAACGGAAGAACTTGTTCTTCAAAGAGGATTGAATTACAACATAAGAGGTGCTTCAAGGCCAGAATTCTTTGTGGCATTAGAATCGTCACTGAAAACATCAGGATTAAATGAGGTCACTCAATAAAAAATACGGTAAGCAATCGTACCACTGACCAGGGAAATTAAATATCATGCTCAAATGAACAATCAAGAACAGAAAACATTAAAAAGACTGAAAAATAGGAAAGATATCATTATACTTCCAGCAGACAAAAGACGCACTACAGCAGTCATGGACAAAGGAGTCTACATCAAGAAAGCAGAGGGATTACTCAAAGACTAAAATGTACACCAACCACTTGGAACCAACCCTATCCAGAAGTTCGACAACCAGGCCAATAAAACCTTGAACAAACTCTTCAAAGCAGAGGAAGTATCAAAGCAAGACAAATAAAGAACGAAATCGAATGGACCTATCCTTCCTCGGTTCTACAGCAGACCAAAACTACACAAACTAGACATCTCTCTACAACAGATAGTCTCACTTCCGGGAATTCCAGCATACAACATGTCAAGGGAAGTTTCGAGAAAACTGAAACACCTCGTTCAATCATGAGGACATTCCATCAAGTCACCAACGGGATTCTTAGAAAAGATCAAAAGCATTAACATACAAAAGGACGAATTAATGGTATCCTTCTATGTCACAGCAGTATACACATCCATCGAACCCCAACTGACTAAAGAAACTGTGTTCCTTCTGCTCAATGAAGACACAAGCCTTACAGAAAGCACAAGACTTAAATGTCCAAGTATGATGGAACTCATCGACTTTTGTCTGACAACATACTTCCAATTCAATGGCAAGATATACAAAGAGATGAAAGGAACTCCGGTGGGATCACCGATATCCGGACTAATTGCAGAAGCAGTGATGCAGAGACTGGAAGCCATCATCCTACCTGTGACCAAACCAAATATTTGGATTCGCTATGTGGACGACACTTGTGATTATTAGAAAAGATGATATGAAATCACTCACAGTTTGATCACCAAGGTTTTCAATGACATCATATTCACAATCGAGAAGGAGTCGAACAACCAACCACAATTCCTAGATGCTTTAGTCAGTAGGTTGAAT